AGTGTTGTAAACGCCAAAAGCAGTCGCAGCGCCGCGTGCGCCATGTTGGGAGCTTCTTAAAAGGCTCGGGCCGAGATGCTTCATCATCATCATCATCATCATCATCATCATCATAATCATCATCTTTATCATCTTCATCATCGTCAGCATCATCACCACCATCATCATCATCACCATCACCATCGCCAACATCATCATCATCATCATCATTATCATCTTCATCATCGTCAGCATCATCATCACCATCATCATCACCATCACCATCACCATCGCCATCATCATCATCATCATCATTATCATCTCATCATCGTCAGCATCATCACCATCATCATCATCACCACCATCATCATCACGACCATCGTACTAACAAGCCCACATGCACCAGAGTCTGACGAGACATTGTCACATTAAGCAACTCACTTTCTGCTCCTGTCCTGAACTGGCTGCTGCTGTCTCTAACATGTCAACGACATGCACAGGAGATTGCACAAACTGTCTGCACAGTGGTGATGCATGCATACGATGCTGAAGCTGTCTGCTCCTGCGGCACAGCGGTACCGCACGCGGAACAAGAATGCAAGTTGCACGAAAGACACATGCTGGTGCAAGGCAACTAAAGCAGAACTCCTTCTAAGGCTGGACGAGGAAAAGATGGGAAAACCGAGGGGGTTGTGCGAGGTTGGGCGGAGGAGACGGGAGGTTGGGGGGTGAACTGGGCAAGAGGGGTAGAGAAAGGAGGTGGGAGCGGGTGGAAGTGGGTTGTCCGGCATGCTTGCAGAGCCTGAGGTATGGGCGGGACAGAGCGCAGGGTGGGGGCGAGGTTCGGGGGAAACGAGCAAAGGGGGTCCTGAAAAATGGGAGAAACGCTGGGCGTGGTCGAGAAGCCTTGATGAGGGTTGGGCGGGAGGGCAAAAAAGGAATAGGTTGGGAAGGTTGGCGTGGGTGGGGTTCTTCCGTGGTTTCTCAATGCTGCCACGGCTGCAACGGCATTAGGAAACCCACCATGATGGGGATGATGATGATGATGATGATCATCATCATCATCATCAGCCCTCGCCGCGGCCACCCCAAAAACGAACAGGCCGGCCAGGCATCCACCTTGACAATGTAGTCCCCGGGACGGACCTACCAGGACACTGTGGATTCCTACCATCCTGCTGGTCCGGGCGAGAAAGGACAGCAGCCAAATCAGAGCTCTACACTCCACACTGGGGATGTGGACATCGAAGCACACACGGTTTGGAGCGATGGCTGAGGCTGCCACGGCGAAGCATGGGTTGGCACGGTTCCATGCAGCGACCTTTGTCGATTGATGGCGGGATGAAATGTATCGAGGCGGCTTCCACCTTTGAGACCAAGGCCAGACCATCCCCAACGTACTCAACGCGTAGCCTGTCAAGCACGGAGCTGCAAACTGTAGATTCTTCGCGGTGCTCAGGGTTCCACGCAGACCGGCCCTGGATCTTTCCGCCTGTAGCCCTCCATCTCTGGCACGACATCCACCACGAGCTTTTCAAGCTGAACGGCCTGTCATGTGAACTTGCCGAGAGGACCTTGCAATGACCCCATTGCCTGAACTCACAACAAGGCACCAAGCACTAAGACTAAAACCCAACGCTGCTTGGCATGCTCTCCTGAGGACTTATCGGCCCAGCGTGGCGGCGATGGCTCTTTGGAGGAACCTGCAGTGACTGTCTTAAGTGCGGCGATGTGTATCTAAGCATTTACGCCTCTCTCTTGTGGCAGGATTCGGGTTTGGTGATTGGAACGACGAAGCCAAGACACAAAGAAACTTGAAATACATAAACCAAGATTGCAGCAGCTTCACAGGTCCTGTGTAAACCAACAAACCGGATCCCTACCGGCATCCTCATAACTTGCGACGTTCAGGAACCCAGACTACCCGATAATCGCCTTGTTCGCCCACACTCTGAAACGACTCCCTCTGTCCCTTCTCTCCTAGCGCTACGGAGCAACCTACAACCGTTTTGGAACAGGACTTAAGGGTATAGTATACTCTGCCTTTTCGGTGGTCAAAAACGAATGCTGCTACCTATTGAGACTTCGCTGCTTCCTATGCATGCCTTGCATCGGGGATCGGTGTTCAAGTACTCAGGGAATTCGATCATTCCGAAAAGGATAGCTATGTCCGCAACCACAGCCCACAACGATTATGACAAACTTATCCCAAAACTTCTATGCACAAGAGACTGCCCCCTGCAAGGAGGTCATCTATTCTGTAAAACAGAAGTTGTTATCGTTCCATTACAAGAGTGACTGAGATTGAGATTGAGCCCGGTGGTTGCTATCACCATTCATTGCTAGCATTCCGGCCCTAAACCCTGCCATTTGCCGTTGTCTGCCCTTGAAGTTGTCGAGGCTTCGGCGAACTGCGACTTTCGCACGGTGACAGTGTACTCATAGGAACCTCGCTGTGATTGTCGTGGAGCTGAAGGTTCAAGCAGCTTAGACACATTCGGGTTTTGGTGTTTGTAGACTGCAAACCCTAAAGTTTGAGGTCTAGGAGGCCCATCGTGTCGGCTGAGGGCCGTAGAACTTCTGGAGACGGGGTAGAGGGCCTATGTTCGAGATTGGATGCGCTGGCTGCACATGGCAAGGCCTGCGCATGTGACGTAGAATATGGCATTCATCGGCTGCTCTCAAACAGAATTGGAAGCCATCCGAACACCCCATCTCCAGCAACACGTGACCTGCAAGAAAGGGCCAGCCCGTGGCATCTAAGTCCTGCACCAGTGACGCGATCCAGCCGTCGCAGGGCCGCCTTCTGCTTGGCTTCGAGGGCGGCAGCCGGATCGGCAGCTGCCTTTCCGAGCCTCAGGCCCAGAAGTCCGCATGCCACTCTGCATGAAACGTGCCATGCCAGATGCAAAACCGAGAGGGAGGATGGAAAAAGGAAAAACTCGCAGCCAGCGACACCCAAGGCAGACCTTGTGTGCCAGTCGAAACCGGAGTGAAACGCTAGGTCACCGGCACCGTCTTCCGGAACATGGACTCAGGCATACTGACACCTCTTGCGCCGAGGAGTGCGGCACGCATGATTCGCATGGTGCTGGGTGGGGGGGGGAGGAACTGTGAGAGTCTTGTCCCTGTAGTAGTAGCTGGAAACCGAAGCCAAGCACTCTCAAGAACATCCTGTCTCATTGTTGCATGATTCGCTAGAGCTAAGGCAACAGCAATGCCAGGAGTTCAAGGCGTCGTCCAGACAGTTGAACTCATACCTGGAAAGCATGACACCCCCCCCCCCACCAACACAAAGTACTCGACTGCTGCCTAAACCGACGAGCCGTCAGCGCACTCTCCCAACGACATGAGGATGGGCTTGTCAGCCTGTTGCACAGCGGGGCTGAATTACATGTCGGGGCTTTGTTCCCAGCTGGGTCCCGACTGGCTGGCTGCCCCGGCAATAGACTTGACATCGACAAGTTTCCAATCCATGAAGGGAACCCGTGCGAAGCATCGGTTGAGGCATCCCTGCTTCTTCAATCTTGACTGCAACGGTCATCGCGACTTTGATGATTAGCCAAGACCGGCAACATCGGATGGACGAAAAGAGTCCGTGAATCAACCGCCCCCTAGGGCCCCAAACCCCAAAAACTTTCGTTGCTGAGGAGCATTCGGATCCAGGATCAGGAGTTCTCGGGAGTTTTGGGTGTTGGGTTGTGTGGCTCTCTGCTCAACACCGCTGAATCCAAAGATCCACTAACAAAGAGGCAGGCCATCGATCCTTCTCGCGAAGGGGATTTCGGTAGAATGCACCGGTGCCAGGATGCCCTGAGTGTCACTGCGTGTTGGATTTACGTCTCGATGACCAGTGACCAGTACTTCGGCAGAGGCCTCTGAATGGTTGGGCTACTTCCTGAACTTATGATCTTCCTCCAATCGTTACCCGATAGAAGATTTTTTGAGATGCGATTCAAGCCGTTCCATGTTCTGGATGAGAAGCCAGGTATTCTAGGTAGGTGCAGGCATGCATTGGGTTCAGCTGCAAAGGCCTAGACTCGCAACAACTGTCGTCTCTGCTGCGCATTCAAACCCTCGAGGGCAATGCACATAAACTGTTCCTACTACTCCTCCTCCTCCGGCTGCTGCTGCGACTACTACTACGACGACAACTCTTGCAACCACTCCTACTTGCATGGCTGCGACCTTGCAAGCATCCGAGAAAGACTGAGTAGCAGAGCCAATTGTCTGCAAGCAGTATTTGTATTGGACATAGCAATCCCTTCCATTGTATCTGGCAAGGATGGCACGGGCAATACCCAGGCATGGGCGAAGAAACTCATCCTCCGCAGTTGCGCGATTCGGCTTCAGAGCATTCTCGTCCTGGCGCCGGTGTGTAGGTTTTCGTGTTCGCGGTTCTCAGGTGAACGGTATTATTTTGGATTCGCTGGACGAGCAGGAGGACCTAGTCTTAGTAAGTCTGATTCGAAGTACATTGATTATCTTCTGGTTTGCACCATCGGGCTTCAAGCAACACAACACTTGCAAGGCTTGTTCAGAGGGTGTCGGTGCCCAGCTGCCGCGGGTGGAAGTTGCAGATTCGGCAGGCTACCCCCATGCAATTCCGCTGTTGTCGCCTCTTCTGCCATTCTGAGACCTGGCGGGAAAGAGTCGTCCGCAGGTTCATGCTCCAGTGATGTTGACGAACGAGATCCCACCAGTTCAAAGCAATTGTTTGTACCTGAGGCACTGCTCACGAAATTTGGACCTGACTTCAGAGCAGGAGTTGGTTTTACAGTTTTTGCTCGTGTGCTGCAAACTTGTGCGTAGATTTCCGGATCTCTCGATTGCAGACCGTGAGCTAAAAAGGCTGCCATTCAATTCATCCACAACCCCCAAGCCCTAACGGCCTAAGACCAAACACAGTAAGCACTCTGAAGCCAAATCCCAGGCCAAATGCAAGGGCCTCGCAGTGGCTACTGAGCTTCGCCTCTTTTGAGGCACTCAGCTTTGAGTCAAAAAGACGGCTTCCGGAAGATCGGGCAAAGGACATTTCTGCGGGGTTTTTCGCGCAGCAAATGGGATGCATGCGTCTCTCGGGCTTCCCAACAGTGAATCGGGAGAGCATGAAACGCATGCGCAACTCTACGCAGCCAGGTCGGAGTCAGTGCAAGGGAAATTGTTGTTGAAACCATGTAGCTCCCTTTCTTACAATCTCGGCGTCAACAAGCCGGAAAGCTTCTTTATCTGCGTATCCACCAAGCTCATCCAGCACGGTCAAAACTTTGAGGATTGCTGTGTTCTTGTTTTTGCTATTCCTGATATTCTGGGTTCTTCTCCTCGGAGCCTGTTTTGTGCTGCTGTTTGTGATTCTCCTGAAAGTAGCAACGAAACGCTCGTTGATGCAGACAGGGAAACACCACCTTGCCACAACAAATTCTCAACCTGTCAGGGCGACGAATGTATTTGCTTTTTGCTTCTCGGCGCATCGGGCGCTGATGCCTGAGGCTGGGTTGTGAAGGCATATTGCAAGAAGCAACATGCGGCACCCTCTTCGGATGTCCTGCATCCCGCCGCTGTGCCAATGAAGTGTCAGGAGCTTACAGAAGTTCTCCAGATAAGCGGGGAGACACTCGTCAGCATGCAGGTGCATGAACGATTTGTGCACATCCCTACTTTGATCTTGTTTGCCACAGATCCGGGACGTGCACATGGTCAATGCCCTGCCACTGCCTCGCCAACTTGCCCCTCGCACCGAGTGATATCATACCAAAGCTGGACAGATGCTTCTGCACGTTGAACAGACCATGCGAGATTCAGTGCTTTCAGTTAGTCAGTCCACTCTGCTGCTTTTGAGCAAGCGGCCAAGCTGCAGCCAAGCTCATTCAATGTGTACAGGCCGAGGCAAGCCCTCTTGCAGACCACACGGCCATGGTGCTCGATAGGGCAATACAAGTTCATACGAGGGTTGCCTTTCAAGATGAGATTTGCTTCCAGGCTTCTAGCGGTCCGTATGATGGTGAGCACTGATAAGCTTTAAACGCTAGGCCACGAACCAAATCTAGAATCACGTGTCTCACAGTTGTATAGCTGTCTGCGGGATTTCACACACGTGCACTTCAGGTACAGGTACTATGTGATAGCAAAACTACCCAAACGGCTGCCCTGTACAAACTCTACGCCAAAAAAAGGCTTCTTGACTGCGCCTTCCACTTCGAACTGGTCTAAGTATTCTTGACCGGCATACCCTTGGACTGTACGCCGACGTGCTGAAACTTGTTAGGCCCACCTCTTCGTTTTGCGAGGGAGGGCAGGTGCAACGTCTAAACGTGACCTTGCAAGGTCCTGCGAAGGTGCACAAAGCTCTCATTGACTTCGGGGGTGAGTCTGATCCGGGTTGGTGGTCACGATAGCAACGGAGATGACAATGCTGCTGACGAGTTTTTGTGACGATGACGATGACAGTTGCTCGTAGTGCCAATGAAGATGCTGCATCAGTGATTCTGACACCAACTTCCATGGTGACTTGATTTGATGACCCTGGTGCTTCTGCCGGCGCTGGCGATGATGATTCTAATCATGTTGTTGTTGCGGCTGATGACGGATTTCTCGAGGGTCTTGCGTTTTTCTGTTCTCGGGGTTCCTTCTCCCAACCCCGAGGTCAGCTGGGGGCACCGTCACAAATTTCACACACAGGTCGAAGTCGCCAATTTGACCAGCGAAGACGAAACCGGCCTGCGCACAAGTGCGCAGCTAGTCGGATTCTTGTTGCTGGTGGCGCTCTCGGTGTATCATTGGACGTCGAGATAAACCAGTGCTGCACAATCGTCATCGTGGCAATTCCGAACATTTGTACTTTCGTATCCTATCATGCCCATGGAGATTTTCAATGGCAGTGCATTGAAACAGAAACTGCGCTATCACTACTAGCAGCTACCTCTATGCGTTGCCAGACTCTGAACCCATTTCGCCAGACCTTAATTATCAAACTAGTAGTCCTAACCGTCCTAACCCTCAGCCATCTCCTTTCCTCATCGCCGCCTGGTACGGCTTCAGATAAAGTCGCACCGCCGAGTGGGGGCACCTTCTATCGGCCGGTCGTCCTGGCTTTCGGTGCAGAGAGTCCATCCTCGTTGCATCATCTCCTTCTATACCTAAGGTTCGTCGTGTTTACAATGCAGCAGTATATAAGACCATAGGCTGTGTGTAGAAATACGGCATACATACATGCATACATACGTGTATCTGCAAATCTATCCACATAGACATAATATATGAATACATCCATACATAAACAAACTGTATATGTCTACGTAGGGCAGGTATACATACAGCCGAAATCGTCGGACAGTCGAGAGGACACACCTGGACTCCATCAGCTGTTCAAGCGCAATGCCGTGCCATCGCTGCCAATTACTCAGCACATGGCGTGTAGGCCATGGCTTCCTGGTGACCTTCCTACGAGTCGCTGAGCTTGGACCTTGTGCAAAAGAGGCTGTCCTGCTCCTGTGGTGCTGCAAGCGATTGCACGGCACCAACAGCATCCTTGACTTCACCTGGCAAGACATCAAGGTCTGCTGAAGCTCTAATGAATTCTTGAAGTCTCCGCCGGCCCCAAACTAAAGGCCCTCGACCCTAGCTGAATGATGCCAAGTGTCTGCGCATGTCTTCGAGCCTCGACTCACTCATTTCCACTGGACCGACGACTTAGGGACATCTGAAAGGACAGCTCTCGAGGTATGCTTGCGTTCTTACATGTTTCGGCATGATGCACGTTCCTGCCCAACAGCATCAGCACAACGACAATGACAGGCGCTGTACTTTCAGCCATGTTCGACGCCCCAACAGGAAAGAGAGAAAGCTCGCAACTAAGTCTGGCTCCTTCACACTTGCTATACAGGTTGCAGAGTGTCTTAGCTCCACTCTAGTCTAAAACAAGACTTTACTTTACCTCTAGATTATAGATACACCTCCGCGAATGGTACGATCTGTAGGACCTAGGAGCCATGCATCTGTCTCTCCTGGAACAAGCATGTGCGAAGGTCGTGAACCCAAAGCACACTGGCAAAGGTCCCGGAAACTGGAAGTCCCCACTTTTCTACAAAGAGACTATACTAACTATACTCGACCTTTCTGATAGGTTCTTATTCAAAATCCCCTGCACTACCACCTTCCTTTGGTGGTGAGAGTTGGTCCACGGAAAAGGACAAGGTCGGCAAAAACTCAGCCCCTAAACCCTAAGCCCAGAGTGCGCTCCGGATGATGGCAGTCTAGGTGCTGTCTGGTCAGGACGAAAAACGGGACGATGTTCGATTCGTCCAAGGGCCTAGGTGCAAAATTCATGAAGGTTAGGAGTTCTAGGGATGCTGTGTGTTCATGGCTCAGAGGTTTCACAGAAAAGAACAAATCACGGTAATTACTCCCCGAGCTTAGCTAGGGCGCGTTCATACAATCAATCGAAAAGGCAAGGCAAACCTTAGTGAAGAGACGTTGGGTGTGGAACATCGCGTGAGCACTGAGGGCAGCAGCCCCTAGAACCTGAGTGTTGGATAGACACGCCACGACCAAAAGCAAATGCCATCGCCCTCGTTATTATGAGAGGATCCCCTAAGCCCTAAACCCTAAACCATTATGAAAGGATGATGCAATCGAAGTTGAAGCCGCTTTTCCATGGTGGGGGGTTTCGAGCAGATTGCCTAAAGGTTCAGATGACTGAAAGAGCAACATTGCTAACTATACAATAGGGTTTAGGGTTTAGGGCCAATATTGAAGAGATGCTGACACTGCTTAAAAGTCTGTACCAGGCGCATGGTGATTTTCAACAAGTGCTTGCAATACAACATGCAATGACTTATTGCATGGTTCCCCCAGTCGCAGTACTATTGTCGATATTTGCTCCCGACTTCAAACGCAAATCGTCCTTCATGTTCAACGACCCTCTAGCCATACTGTGGAACAAGTTCAATCCTGGTGGCCCGCCCATTTTGCCGCCCCCCTGCAAACAGTGCGAGCACGGCGACTCTCAGTCTTCTGATGTGGATGTGCGGTGCATGTGGGCTGTACGAACTTCTGTGAGGTCACACAACCAACAGCTGTCGCGAGGCTCTCCTTTACAAGCAGGCGAGGCAAGTGCAGAAGCTTTGCTAAGAAAAACATCTGCAATAGTCACAGCTCAGCACGCACGGATCCTGCTTTTGACTCCTTCACGCCATAAAGCCCCTCAAGGCCTCAAGGTGCACTGCCTCAATCCCTGATCTCTTAAACTTCACGGAAGCAGGCCGTCTTGTACTTGGCGATGGCACCGCCAGCTGCGGCGCCCGCTGCGGCACCCATCCTGTGCTACTATCTCTGCTAGTCCGCATGTGTCGTAGTGGTCGAATCCGACGACAGTTCGACTACCACTGCTGCAACGACACTGACGACCCTCACCGCCACCACGACGACGACGGCTACGACTACCACTACTACTACGACGACGACTACTACTTCTGCTCGTTTACAAACGTGAGTCGCGGTCTCAACCTTCAGTGTAAGAGACACCGGGAAGACAACGGAGGCTCCGCAAGGATGGCAGAGTTAGTTGTTGCTGTTGTTCATGGTGAAAGTTGATGACGACGTCGGCAGCACGGGCATCATGATCATGAACAGCCTCATCTTGCTGAAAAACATCAAGGTCACCATCATCACATGAAGGCATCAAGCTTCTGGGAGTAGAGAACCCCTCACAGGTGTAAGCCGCGCTGCAGCCCTTGTTGTGTGAGTTTTCTACTCCGTCTCGCTTCATCTTTGAGGACCACGGGCCCAATCAATGCAGTTCCTGTTCATGCGACTTGATGTGAGGTTCGGGTTTAGCCGGCTCAAACACGTCTCATGGTGCGTGCCAGGGCTTGGAAATCCAGGGCAACAAGCTGCATCATCGGTGGAGGCAGAGTGGAATCAAGCAGCAGCTTTTGTGGTAGTCGGGGTCCCTTGCAGCAACCACATGGGTAGTTCATAATAGTTATATTGAGCATTGTCTCCAACCCTTTCCCTCGTGCCCTCTTGTCCCAGTGTCCAGGAGACTCGCGTTCCAAAGCCAGCCAAGAGTCAAAGCAGCCACCTTGCAGTTCATGTTGCAAACTTCTTTCTCCTCAGTGCCCCATGGATAGTCTCACAAGGGCGAACACAGTTGCAAAACTCATGGCCCTCGACAGCCGAGGCTCTATGTAGTCCATTTGCTTAAACATCTTTTTCATTGGATCCGTTTCTTCCTGCGCCTCCTTCTCCTCTTCTTCGTCCTGGCAAACAGCTGAGGCCGAATTTGGAAGATGCCTGTGGCAGACTGTGAGTGTTGCCCATACATTCGTCAATAGCATCGTGGACATGAACATCATTCCACAACGCAGGAGTTCCATTCTCCTTCTTCGACAGAAGCGTCAGCGGATTTAAGGCGCTCAGTCCGGCACCTTCACTGTTCACAGGCGATGAGAGTTCAACGCAGCCATGCCGGTCGTGAGATTTCGAGGCCACCCGCCTAGCATGCCGGCGCCCTTGATACCGCCCGGGCACTTGGCGTTACAGAGCATGAAGACGCCCAAGCCTCACTTTGCGGAATCGAGAATCGCTCCTTCTCTGTCCTATTCCCGTTATCGGAAACCGGAGACACCAGCATCGTACAATCCACGCACAGCTGCTCTGCTCCGCTTGGTAATAGCATTTTAGTACGCTGACTCTAGAGCTCCATTCTCACAATTACCATCCTTATTCCTCTTCAGCACCAGCAACATCATCATCATCATGATCATCATCATGATCATCATCTCATCATCATCATCATCATCATCTTCTTCATCTTCATCTTCTTCATCATCGGCATCATCATCACAGTCATCGACAACAGTAGCAGCATCAACGTAATCACATTCACCACCATCATACCTGTCGTCGTTACTGTCATCTGCATCTTCGCCGTTATCAGCATCATGCACGCCACATTGCCATCGTGGTCCTCGCACTCCTGCTAAACACTATCACCCCCGTCGTGATCAGCATCGTGGCCACAATCAGCACAATCACCACATCATCACCATCACCATCATCATACTCATTCACAGCCTCATCAACAGCACCACTGTTGACACCGTACGCTTTCCGCAGCAACCGAGGCACCACCGGCTGCAGCACCAATGCCAGCGCCGATGCCCCTGACTTGGCAACGGCTGGAAGCTAGGACTGTGCTGGATTCTCGAGTACAAGCAGTACACGCAGTCGCAATTGGCTGAACGGACAGTTGCTTCAGCTGAGTAAGGGTGTGCAGCACATTTCCTTCACAGAAAAATGTAAATTGAGGGGATGCCGGGAAACAAACGCAAGTCACCGATTACCACCAAATCAACAGGCCCTGTGCACGAGTCCAGTTTGTCGAAAATCTGTCTGTGATGATGATGCCGACGGCAAATGGCCCTTGGGCATTAAGCCCGCATCCCCCCGAAGCTGCTTAGTCCTGCTCCGCATGCTCAACCCGAAAACCTCGACCCAGTCGATCCTCAACAATTTACTGGAAACGTGCAAGCGTGAACCACAAACTCTCACACCCTAAACGGCCCTACTTGGAGGTTCATGGGTAGTCATAAGTGGGGTTATAAGCCCCCTAATATGGGTTGTAACTATAGTTACCTTACTTATAACCCCACTTATAACCACCCATGAACCTCCAAGTAGACCCCATGTACAAAGCCAGGGCCGGCACGTCGCCCCGATGAAGGATGTCGGCCTGGGACGCAGCGTGTGTGAAACCCGCAATTCTCAAGCTCAACATGTGGGTGGTTGTCAAAATTAGGGTCCCTTTTTGGGTCCTTATTATAATACGGCACCTATTATTTAGGGTACCCCAAAAGGGACCATAATTTTGACAACTACCCATGTACACAAGTAGCACATGCGCCGCATGTGCAAAGCCGAGACTGGGGACCAAACTCCTCCACATGAGTCCGGAGGCCGTCATAACCACAGTGGGTTTTGATGAGCACGGCACCTTCCGCGAGCATCCAAATAACCGGTTCGGTTCTCTTTCTCTTTAAAACCTCTTTTCCGCATTTTTCCGCCTGCCATGGGAGCTTCGGTTTTTGTAGCTTTGGGATTTGGGACGAAAATGATTGAACAAGACATTGGTTTTGACCATCTTGCCGTGGTGTTGGAAATGCAAAAGCTCGGGGTCATTGCATCTGCAGACCGATGCTCTGCAACTTCCATGCTACTGGCTTCTTTGGCCATGTCGTTTCGTTGAGGCTTCTGCTGGTAGCCGCAGCGCTGTGCAAATGAGATCCGAGAACCTGTGAAGCTCAACGTGTGCCGCTAAACCCTAAACCCCTAAACCCTAAACCCTAACCCCAAACCCCTAAACCCCTAAACCCTAAACCCTGTAGCTGGAGGCCACTCGTCGTACCAACCTGGAGGGCTTTTACTTCGCTATGGCCAATGGCTGTTCGTGATTCTGAGGATTGCCAGAAGTTCATGGCCTTCTGTTTTAGATTGGTTTAGTGTCGTCAAAGCATCGATGTTCCGCTGGTGCGGAAAACGTCGCGATTCCAGCGACTGTCTTTGAGAGAAACCTTCACGCAATCCTCAAGCCTCAACCCTCAACTTTCAACCATCAGCACATGAGCCACCAAAGAAACGAAGTGCAGTCATGGCACTCATGGCCCCTGCCAGCGTGCGTCGCACGCCCTGGGGGGCCCTTCTTGAGCCCAAGTTGCGGAGAAGCAAACCCGAACTTGCTCAATGCGTTGCTGCGAGACTGCACGGGTCACTTGGGTTCAACGCCGGCGAGGATCCTCTGTGCAGACATAAGAAACTGAGCACCGCCAGAGGGGTTGAAGCCCCGAACGCAGGGTCTTTGCGAGTGGGTGGGAGGTCGGTGTCGAGTCGGGGTACTGTTCCCCCCAGTCTATCTAACTCTTTATTTTGCTCATTCTTGTTCTCTTCTTTATTTTACTCGGTCAGGTTCTGTATGTCGTGTTTATGCATACACACAGTCATGCGGGCGTGCCCTCGTTTGCAATGATATTTCAACTTGCGAAACACATCACCTCTGCACACATACATAGACTCATAGGAAGACGTGCACGAATGTGATGGTAACGATATGCAACATAATGCAACCGCCAACCTTGATATAGCCTCCCAGTGTGCATATGGCTGTTTAGCAGTGCGACATACGAAGCATCTTGTGTGCCTGGTCAGGGTCAACCGTCATGGAGTTCTAGTGCTGATCATCTATGATCTAAACAAACAGTGAAAGCCCAACAGCACCAGCAGCAGAAGTGTGATAGCTAATTGATAATCTGCAGCAGCAATTGATATCAAGCAACCGTCACACTGTATGTTATACGCGATGGTGATAGACATGATGCCTGTGGTGAGCACGTGGTCACAGTGCGTGGTCACTGTCAACCCCACGTCCACGATCGAGACGACTATAACGAACATGATAATCAGCACAGCGCTACCTCGTCACATCATCATGAGTCATGAGTGGACGGGGTCACAGTCAACCTCACTGTTGATCGTGCTAACGACGACGAACACGACCATCATGACAGTATCATCAACATAATCATCATCATCGTCGTCGTCACCATCATCATCATCATCATCATCACGACCATCGTCGTCATCACGACCATCACCACTATCGTCATCATCATCATCATCATCACCATCGTCATCATCCTCTTCCTCGTCCTCGTCCTCGTCCTCGTCCTCGTCCTCGTCCTCGTCCTCGTCCTCGCCGTCGTCACGAGTATCACCACCATCGTCATCATCAATCCCGCAACCATTGCGACAATGAGAATCACTATCACCACCGCACCGATATCTCCATCTTGATCGAACCACCATATCACCATGACACTCGCTACCATCAGGGTCAGTAATAAGCAGCCAGTACAGGAGTCATCAAAAGAGTGTGCCTGCAGGTCATCAGCTTCTTTGTAAGCAATGCAGAGCGAGAACCTGTCATTCGTGACGACGTAGATAAGGATCTGGGAGGGGCAGTTTAGGCAGAAAGGCCAACGTCAAAGTCTTTTGAGCCCGGATGTGGCCGGATCAGCGGGGTGCCATCTCTTTGGCGTCGGTCGAAGATGGTGCGTAGCAACTTGAAGCACTCACCTCATCTCCCTAAAACGTTGCCATGCTGGACATTCGCCGAATGGCAACCTAAGCTGTCTGTAACATTAAACATTCATTTGGGGTGTTGTCGGGCCAGGACTGTCCTGCAGGCACTGCAGGCAGTCTTGAGATCATTTTTCTCGATGTTTAGTAAGTTTAATATTATGCAGAGCCTCAATTCGGACCAAACACTCACCGAGGCAGAAACACTTCAGGTGGCCTCTGGCTGGTATGCGCTGCACACGCCGAAGCCGAAGGCTAAGCCTGACTCCCTTCATTCCCTTCACTCCTGCGAGGCACCGCAGAATTGACTCCGCAGCGAAAGAACCCGAAAGTGGGTTTTTAAATCACGCGAGTCGTCCACGGATGTACCGCAGAATTGCAATGCCTGCTAAGTCTACATCGCACCGCAGTTGAGCGACTTGGTTATGCTGAGACCGGCGTGCATGCTACGCTTTCATTCGCTACACCATTGATCCTCGGGCTTTTGGCCTTCAATTGTCGCAGCGTTGCCTGTGCCGCGGGCTGGTAAAGAAAAGCGATGGACGTACGGATGTAACAACCGGCGATGCATCCATCACTGAATGACGGTGGCGAAAGAAGGGTCTCGACCACTGAAGCGGCCAGTGAATGACTACTGAATGCAAACGGATCTTGCGAAAGCCTAAAATACAACCGTGTGCGACTCAGCAATAAAGCCGGAACCGGCAAACAGGTCTACAAGTGGCAGCACCATGAGATCATGGAACGAATTCTCAAAGTGACATTGCTTTCGTGCCCAGCCAAATGCACTGAAGTGTCGTTCAAGGACAGATTTCGACATGAGCAGAGCGCCCCGCATGCATGTGCCGGACATGTCATGGCCTCCGGAATGCATTCCTGCACTGAGCGATAGAAGCAGTAGTAGAACTGGTCCTGACGATCGAGCTGCGTCCAATTTGCCTAGTCAACACGGGGAGGTGGCCTAAAGAGAAGTAAACAGAAGTGTCTACCAGTGCTGCCGAAGTCAGGGTGGCTTACCCCGAATACCGGCAGACTGCAGAAAAGAATCTACAGAATGTCGAAGAACTTCTGAACTCATCCGTTCCTCATCTGGATCCCTCCTGAAAGAACCTGTCCTCGTACTTGGCGTGGCGGGCAGGTGCCATTGGCAAACTCTCCGGTGGCAACGGGAACGATTTGATCTTGGCTTTGAACAGGCTTTCCATCAGAACCTCAGATGCTCGGACGTATATACCCGCAGTCTCTGCTCTCGCTGTATCGATTCAGAGTCTGCTAAAGATCAAGGCTCAATGTTGCGGCTGGACGCACTTGCTTTGAGATTGCATGCTCTCAAACAGTATCTACGGTTCAGGTAGTTACTCCGAAGATAGCAGTGAACGCCGTCTGGGAGTCTGGTGCCCATGGCGCACACAACGAAGCTTTCGACGGACATGCAACAGTAACTACAATCAATACATTGCACATTTTCACCCGGGAGGTGCCAAGCTGAAGCACAGATGCAATGGACCGGAGGTTTAGCTAGGCCGGATCGTGCGAGAAACTGCCTCTGGTCCCATTGCTCCTTTGGAATGTGCCTCGCATGCGACAGGGACACGCAGTTGGGACTCTCGGCTCTCTAGGGCTGAACCTGCCACAGTGGGCCACTGGATCCATGCTCTGGCTAAGCTCGAAATCTAGAAAGACAACACCAAGACCGAACACGACCGTGCTGGGTCTCGCGTGCTGAGGCCGACAAACAAGCAAAACTAAGACTACAGCCATGGCCTTGTGATGTTTGCGAATGAAGTCAAAGTCTGTTCTCATCAACTTCAGCGGTGTAGTCAAGTACCTTGGCTCACTCTTCTCTCTGAGCCAGCACATGTTGAACGTCTGTACAACAACAGGCTGCGCTTTGGTTGCGGTTGCACTCGAGATCTTCGATTCCCTATCGCCGCCGAAGCTCCGATGCAAGGTTTGGTACCGAACTCAAAAGGTTGCAGGATCGCCTCCCTCCCACCCGATACAACTATACGGCATCGGTATCAACACCAAGGAATGCACACTAAAGGGCCCGAAGTCTGGGATCGATGCTACCAACCGCTGAATCCGGCTTGAGACCTGTAGGCCACGTCGGCACCCACTGCAAAGGCAGCCTGCACGAAAGCGATCTCTCTCTCTCTCTCTCTCGCTCTCTACGCGTCTCGCTCGCTCTTTCCCTCTCTGGCTGTGCACACTCACACAAGGTCGCGTTGCAGTTAGGCATTTGCAACTGGGGTCTCGTCTTGCTGCAGCCGCCCACTTCCTAGTCGTGACTGGTGAATCAATTGCATACTGGTTAGGCGGCGAAGCTGCGAGTAGTTCTTGCTCTCGTGTTGCACTGTGCAGCGAAAACTATCTTTCTCTGACAAATCCAAAGCCAGTTGACCCTGGCGGTCGCTGCCTTGTCATTGACGCCGCCACATGGCCGGCACTGCGGCACATAAACGCCCTCTTTCTCTGCATCTGGATGCATTGATTGAAGGAGGTAAGTGTCCTCTCGGGCTCGCCGGGGCTCAAAGCTAAAGCTTGCAGGACTCTTGGTGCTGGAAAACCGGCTGTAGTGAAGGCAAATCTTTGGCGACTTCGTTTTGCCCGGAGTACCTTTGCATAAACTTGCATGTGGACGGTTTGTGCATCACATGAACAGCAAGGCACAGACCAAAACCACCACAAGAATCAGACGTGTACCCCAAGCTCGCGAAGCATCCAACCCCGATCCCGCTCCTCCCGCAATCTCAATGTCATATCTGGCTGATGGTCTTTTTGAAGCTCTGCACAACGACTGAGCGCTTCCCATTGGCGCCTGTGGGATGAAAGATCCACTTGCCCTCTCCGACTTCTAACTCGTCACAACAATCGATAAAGCAATGTCCTGTGGGCCCGAGCTGGGGCCCGCACATGTGGGAGAAGGCACGCATGCGCGGATTACCTGTAGCAGGACCGAAATCTCACAGTTTGAGCTTTGGGCTCGGATGTTCCGCTTAGTTGGTAAGATTGTCAGCACTGCAGTTTTGAATTACCCACACCTGCCCCTGACTATGCACTTGTTGACACTTGTTGAGTATTATAACTGCTTGCAGACAGAGCCCCTGCCTGGTTCCTTGCGAAGTTCCTCCAGGTAGCCGTGGATGATGGGAAAGTCTTCTGGAATGAAGGGGTCGTAGATCACTGAGGCCGGGCCAGGGATCAAGCCACGAAAGTCGTCAAAGCTTTTGTAGGGACCAATCACCACGTCGAGGCCGCCTGGGCAGAGGACCCCTGCGAACCCCGCGCGACAATAATGATGGTCTGGCCCGTGCGCATGTCGATCATGCCTTTAATCAAATCTGCACATGCACATGATCCTAATGACGACACAAACAAGAAACTAAAAGCATGAAACATGAGTGAACGTAGTGGTTCCTATAGTAGCATGTTGAAAACCAGAACTTTGAGCGCCATACTAACTATAGCATAGCATAGCAGCACCATCGCAGGAGTCAAGGACCTTTTTCATGGAGCTGCTGAAGGGCCCGGAGAAGGTCAACAACAATGAATTGACAGAAGCTTTTCAGCCACCGAGAAGCATATACTGATACCATGTACTCCTAAGAAATCGACATTCCTGCATGATGCAGAAACCTAAAAAAATCTCTGGTCTGTGCTCCATTTCCAGCCCGCCTCTGTGTACAAAATGTGTCGAATCGCGGGGGTCGAGCACGACCATGACAATCACCTCAGGTCAGACGTAAGCCTTTCCTGAGCAATGGGACTTGGCTGTACTCGATACGGTTGGAGGGCTTTCTGGCGATGCAGACGAGGCAAGTCAAGGCTGGTCTAGGGCCGAAGGAATGATGTCCCCCAAACAGTGTGGCAGGACTGTCCCGCCAGGCATCTCCCCGTATACAAAATCTAACACTGTTGTGCGGTGTGGTGTCCTGAATGGAAGTCGTGCTCCTGCCACAATCCCGTGCCAAAGTCCCAGCAACGCCTCGCTACTTGGCTCCTCGTGCTTTTTGGTGTCGTCTCGAAATTTCGCCGTTCTCAGGGGATCCGGCAAAATTCTTGTCGAAATCCGAAATCGTCAGTAAATGCTTTGCATACTTAAATTTTTGAGTACGACCTTTGGCTCCGTCAATCGCACTCCAGCTGCGATGTAGTGAGCAGTTTGGGCTTATGGCGTGGTCTTGGGAGCGTCACAAGTGCTCCCCAATGGTTCCTGGGCACGTTTGGACGTAGGGCTGCCGAGTGCTCTTGGCTTGTTGGAGCATATGATGTTTAAACTCGCAGTCTCAAAAGGGCACCTGGTCGGGCTACTTGCAAGCTTCGCTACGTAGCTTCGAGGCAAGCGACCTGCATGCCTTGCCTCGAGGCAGGCTTGATGACGTGTGCGATCTTCGACTCGAGCTCCAAACGGCCCATCTGCCCGGTGATGCACACGGAGAGGGTCTTTCCGACTGCCTGCTCGAGACTTCTAAGGCCTACGCCATCTGTATAATCTCACTACAATCCGGGGCGCATGGGGACTTGTCACTTGTCAACCTACCAGAGAATGCTCCTTTTAATACTTTTTGGAAGTCATCTTGAAAGCAAAAAAAAGCTTATAAGCCGAGGCTTTCTCAGCTCCAGCAGGTCCAGCCTTCCGATCGCCACCGCCGCTGAAGCGCGGAGTGAAGCCGTATCTGAACTGGGGCCACGGAGCTTCCTTGGCGGCTTAGCGCGGTCCCTGGCTCCCCAAATCTGAGCACGGAGAAAACTGGCCACCCTGCTCTGGATCGAGGGGTTCTGCGCTGCAAGTGCTTACGGATCCGCATGTGTGACAACAAGACTATGCTGCAAGACGACCCCTGTACAGGGCCAGAGTAATAATTACAGCAGCAGTGATAAATCGCATTGACCACAATAGTCGAGCTAACAAGTCGAATAGAAGGGCTTCTAACCCCGCGCCCGAAAATGCAAGTTTGATATCCCGCAGCGTGTTGACAGCAGAACGTTGGAAAGAAGAGCATACGACTGCAAAACACAATACAATGAATGAGAGAAACAACATTCAAACGATAAAGGCTTGTGTGAGAAGTGCCGTAGATACTCCGGGAAGTCAATGCATCTCTCACAAAGGCCTCCTCTAGTTGCAAACTACCTCGTCGCTTTTCTGACATCTAGCCCCCTCCTGCATGCTTTCGACTGACGCCACGTGCAGCCAAGAGCTCAAACTGTCGGAGGCCCAGGCCCAAGAAGGCAGAGATCGCAGTAAGGTTGTTGTTCTCCAGGCGCACTTCCAGGAGCTGTTCCGAGGGGACAACGCAACCTGAGCCGAGGCATTCTGGATGTAAGGTCTGGGGTTCAATGTGTGAAACTTGAGATGTAGGCTTTAGGTTGATGGGGTTTGTAGGGTTGAGAATCGAGGTTGCAGGCTTTTGGGCTCGGTAGGCTTCTTGGCTTCGCTCGGAGAGTCGGGTGCCTTGTGTGATGATGGGAACAAGCTTGAAGACCTTCGGGTCTCGGAAGATAAGCCAGAGACTTCTTTCTCGCGGCAGTTATCGCGCAAAACATTCTCAGGAGTCAGGCGCAGACTTCTCTTGGCCGGAGCTCCGAAACGTCAAGTGATAAGAACCACAGCCAGAGCACATTCATGTCACCGAGCTATGCCCATGACACCGGTTTTGTTATGAAGATTATGATCGACAACTGTGTTGCTACTCTTCCCGCCTTGGCTACGACTGTTCTGCGAGCAGTGGTCATGGAAACGGTGTAGGCTTGGTTGCGACATTGCGATTGCGATGTTGGCCGTGGTCAATGCAGTGCACAAGATGCCGATGTCGATGTTGAGACAACGATGACGGGTGAAGAACCTTCTCACCGAAAACCATGCTAAACACACACACACACACACACACACTCCTCCCAAGAGCACGTCTTCTTCAAGCAAGGTACGCACCAAGTCCTGATGCGCCCGCATCAGATCTATAGCTTGCGCCTGCGACACATCCGCCTTAGCATCCCAAGGCTTCAGTACTTCGTTGCTCGCCGAATGGAAGTAGGCTAAATTACTAAATGGCCATTAACAAAGTGCCGTGCCGTGATTATCTACCACTGCAACAGGGCACCTGACGACTATCGGCGGTCAGGCAAATGCTCTGGGGTCGTAAGCAATGCCGTACTCTAGAGGGATCCTATACAGTCCTGCAGCTAGCGAGATCCGGGACATTTATGTCCAGCCGGACACACGGGCTTGAGGGTGCCCAGCTGTCTGTCTCGCTGTGACAGTCTTGTGAAAACAGGTCCTGAGTAAGATGCTGCCACATGAGTATACTAGCTTTTCGAACCTGTGGTGCACGTTTGCCGGGATGGGTATGCATGGCATGCTTGAGGCACCTCAGACGTCGCTGCAAGATGTGCTGATGCATGGGCTGGCCCGCGACATGTTGCACTCAACACTTCCAGTTGCCAGCTTGTTGCGACTTCAGCTACAGCTACAAGCCTCTGTGGAACGAATCACTCCAGCAAGTGCTGGTTGAAGTTGCCAGGACACAACATCGCGGTTGCAGGTGGACATCGCTGGGAATGTATGCTCTGATCCTGATGGCATGGAAAATAATCAAGTTGAGTGTTGAACGTACCAGTCTAGAAATGTGTTGATGAACCAGGATCATTGCTGTCCCTGCGGTTATCCTCAAACGGCGGGATGCCCGAAGTTGACTGAAAGCAACCTTCACGTGATGATAAGTGGTGCTGGGGGTGGCGGTGGTCGTCGTGATCATCGTCGTCGTAGCAGAAATAGAAGGAGAAGAAATAGAAGAATTAGTAGCAGAAGTGGCCGTGGTTTTAGCAGTAGTAGTAGTAGTAGTAGTAGTAGTAGTAGTAGAGTAGTAGTAGTAGTAGTAGTAGTAGTAGTAGTAGTAGTAGAGGTGGTAGTAGTAGTAGTAGTAGTAGTAGTAGTAGAGTGTAGTAGTAGTAGTAGTAGTAGTAGTAGTAGTCGCAGTGGCAGTGGCAGTGGCAGCGGCAGTGGTAGTAGCAGTGGTAGCAGTCGCAGAGGCAGTTGTCGCTGGCGTAGTAGCAATGCGCCGTCGTAGTAGCAACAGCAGTCCTGGTTGTGCTTGTGGTTGTAGTAGTGGTGCTGGTGGTTTTGGTGGTGGTGGTGGTGGTGGTGGTGGTCGTAGTAGTACTAGTAGTA